GACGCGGTTCTAGAGGAGGGGGTGAGGGGGGGGGGGAGCTAAGGACGAGATCCAAAGAGGACTTAACCCAATAATCAAATGATGATCTCATTACGGATATAAAATAAAGAGAATTAAATAAAGTAGTAGTGTGATTACGGGAACGGGACTCGACGCGGGGGTGTTTATTTTGTGTGTGTGTGTGTGTTGTCGCTTCTCCTTTGTTTCCGTCTCTCTCTCTTTCCGCTGGATCGATCACTTTCTTTTTCTTCTTGTTCGCGAACGAAAAAAAAGGAGGAAAACACCCCTTCGGAAGCACGCGCGTCCCGTTCCCGTCGGTAGGAAGTATATCGACGTTGCTTGTAGATAAACGCGGTTGCCCAGCCGACGCCGGGCAGGACAGAACTCTATCTGGGATATGATATTTGACAATCGTCGCCACGTCGTCCGTTGGAACGGACTCGACGGTCGTCGAGCGAGGGCCTCTTTTCTTTAGGCGACGGAACAGTCGCCGTGACAAAATGCGGCGGGCGAATTTTGTTTAGGGTCGAGAAAGCTTTCGCGGGACCGCGAAAAGATTTTCGATAATCATTCTGTTCTCTCAATCCGGTTTAGAACCGGTACATGTATTATTCGTGTGTGTATGTGTGTATTTGTATATTCGTTTTTCTTTTTTCCGCGCGGACGTTTTCCGGATCGGAGGGACGGCTTCAATTCCGTCCGTCCGTCCGTCCGTCCGTCAAGCGTTTGATCGACGTCCGTCGGCTCGACGATCCGGGATCGTGTTGGACGTTTGTGGCGACGGTCGAACGTCGTCTGTATATATAGAAAGTATCTCTGGAGGGAGGAGAGACGACCATCATTCTCTCTCTCTCTCTCTCGCTCTCTCTCTCTCTCTCTCTCTCCTCCCTCGGTGTATTCCAAAAAGCTGAAACGACGCCGATGATTGTTCCGAGACATATTTCGAGCAGGTTTTGGGACGCGAGGGACGCGATCACGCGAGATGGGAGCAGCATATTTGTAATTTGTATAGAGGATTTACACTAAAATAATAAAATTCAGCGATAAGTCGACGTTTATAATTAAAGTAGATAATCGATAGACCGAGGATCGCAGCATCTTAATTGGCTAGCTGCGACTCCCGTGGACAGTTTTCGAATGATCTCCGGTAGCTTAGCTCTTAGTGGCGCCCTCGTCCACGACGGACGCCTTTTTTCTTTTTCTTTTTTCTTTTCCTTTTTTCTTTTTTTTTACGGCACGCCGGAACCCCGGGGCCCTACGCCAGAGCCCTTTTCTCTCCAGCGTGCCAATCTCTCTCTCTCTCTCTCTCTATTTAAAGAGAGCTCTCTATCCTTCGTTTCTTCCTCCGAGACCACCAATTTAACCTCGACGTTTGTTCTTCTCGAATTTTTCGCACGGTTTCTTCTCCGGCGCTGCTTCTTTGGTCGATCTTCATTTCCATCGGTCTTCATTTTTTCTTCGATCGTCGCCGTCTGTTTCGTTCGATCCGTTTGACAAAATCGCTTTTCGTTGTGTTTTTCTTTCTTTCTTTCTTTCTTCTCTTTTCTTTCTTTTCCTCCATCGTTCGCCGATATTATTATTATTATCGGTCGTCGCCGTCAGCAACGTTCGCCACCACCACCGTCGTATCTACTTTTCTTCCCGGTTTCTTTGTGTTTTTTCTTCCTTTTTTCTTTTTTTTGTTACTCGTCGATCCTTGCGGGTCTCTAATTAATAAACGCGTCCGATAAACCGGACGCGCGCGCGTTAATTAGCGTATTCTAGGTCTCTCGTTGTTTTCTCGACGCCGACGAATCTTTTCGACGCGCCGAACGCGCGCGACGTTCCTTCGTTCCGCGAGCGTGCTCGAAGAAGAGGAATTTCTTTTTCTTTTTTTCTTTTTTTTATTAAATAAAGGATAGTTAACGATATCATCCCTGTCGGGGCACGACCGGCGGGCTCGACGGGATCAAACCAAAATCATCACAAGGCTGTCGATGCGATAGTGTGTTATTCCCGCGGACCGTGTCTGTTTGTCACTCTAATCTGTCTCTGTACTCCCGAGTAAAGACTTCTTTGTGTTTTATTATTATTATTATTATTATTACAACTATTATTATCATCATCATTATTATTACTTTTTTAATCTATTCGTAACTTCTCTCTTCTTCTTCTTCTTTTTTTTACTACGATCGCTATTATTATTATTACTACTACTACTATTATTATTATTATTATTATTATTTCTTTTTTACTACCTTTTTGTTTGTTCGTCCGATTCTCTTTCTACCATTAAAGATAAGATTTCCCGCGACGTACTCTGACGAAGTATTCCAGTATGTAGAAAGTATAGTATTTATTTATAGGTAAAGAGAGAGAGGAACGCATATATATATATAGATATATATATATATATATATATATTTGTCTATCGTCTAGCGAGACACAAACGCGTCTTCTTCCGACGCGAATACATTACCTGCCATTTCGTCTCTTTATATAGAGCCGCGAATCGCACGAGAGCTATTCGCCCCGCGCGAGAGTAACTCGCTCGAGGCTCTGTTCGAATCGCTTTCGGAAGGAAGCAAAGGAAGAAAGCTCTCGGAAGAGAGAGGCAACACCGATTCGTTTTCGGAAAGTCAATAACACTGTAGCTGTGTGCGCGTCCTCGTCCGCGAGGAACGATAATCCCATAGGATGTGCTTAGGGTACCGTTTTTTTTAGTCTCCGACGAACACGAGGGAGAATAATAAAAAAAGAAAAGACGAACGGGGTGTAGGAACATTGTTTCTCGATGACATTGTTGCACAGGTGACAGCCGTAACGAAGCGAATGCAGAAAAAAGGGGGGGAAAGATTACGAATCGTTTCGTCGATTCGAACGACACGCGAACACGATTCCGTGCGATGCCGACTAGATTCTTCGATGTTCTCTCGTAACGATCATAGTAACCGGTTAGGCTATTTGTTCTTTTCTTCTAGACACCTTTCAGAAATCAGATACGGTATTTCTGGGGAGCACAAGTTCTGCGGCCGAGCCATTTATTCCTGTGAAATTCGTTCCGGCGATCGAAATTTCCGCGAGCCATTCAACGATCCACCCTCGAAGAAAAAGAAAAGAAATTCAAGGAGTCGAGATTAGGGTAGTCTGAAAGGAGAGAGCGTGAATCGCAAATTTTAATCGTATCTCGATCGTATTTCGGTCGTACAGCGATGTCTCTCTAATTGACGCTCAGATTGTCTCCCTAACTGACGCTTAGATTGCGCAGAAAAATAGACAATTTAGGAACAGGAGATACGATTATTCCGGCTTTGCAGCATGTTTTCATAATCGTCGACGATCGATAATTATAAAAACAAGGCTCCTCTTTCAAGATTGTCCATTTTCGTGGACAATCTGAGCGTCAGTAAGGGAGACATATTTCGCAAGGTTCCGAGGAAACTTCGGACAATTTCAGCCCGGCGAAAAATTGTTTCCGATATTTTCCAAATTCGAAAGAATTCCTTTTCAAGTCGAAATTGTCGGTCGTTTCGCGCCCCCCCCCCCCCGAGTTCTGTCGAGTTCTCCGGCAGCTCCTCGTTCGACAGAAGATTTTCTTACAGCGCGGCTTCGTTCAGCAGCAACTTGTCTCCGACATTCGTCGCATTCGTAGAATCTCTACTATGGTTTCGATCATGTTTTCTTCTCTTCTCTCTGGTTACCCGTTGGAGGGGGTAACGCACGAGAGCGAGCAGGATCGTCGTACAATTGTGATGTAATAAGATAGTAATTGCCATTAAACGGCGCGGCACGGAGCCGGCCGGACTTAGGGCTGACGCGCGCGGAAGTTAAATATTATTAAAAATAGCATTCCGACCAAAGGAACGAGGAGAGATAAGTTTGTTAGATGAGAGAGAGAGAGAAAGAGAGAGAGAGAGTGAGCGAGAGAAAGATAGAGAGAGAGAGAGAGAGAGAAAGAAAGATAGAGAGAAATAGAGCGAGAGAAAAGATATATCCTGTTTCCCCGCAGCGCGCGAAACGCGGCTAGATCATTCTTGATCTCTCGATCTTGATATTCTCGATCTTGATATTCTCGATCTCTCGATCTTGACATTCTCGATCTCTCTCTTTCTCCCGTTGAGAAAGAGTGAGGAAGAGAGAGAATGATAGAGAGAAATAGAGAGAGAGAAAAAATATTTCCTGTTTCCCCGCGGCGCGCGAAACGCGGCTAGATCATTCTTGATCTCTCGGTCTCGACATTCTCGATCTCTCTCTCTTTCTCTCGTTCTCGTCTCTCTCAGTGTGTGCGCGCGAGACAAAGTATACAAACGAGTCAACAAAAGGACGAAGATACTATACACACGCGGAACAAAAATAGAGCACCGACACAAAGCACGAACAAATTTTTTCGCCCCCCCCCCACCCACCCCAACCGTGTACATTGTCCTGTGTAGCGAGTTCGAACGGAAATGCGAAACAAGCGGAACG